GCAAAAACAGAAATCCTTGTACAGCTGGGAGCTTGTAAAAACAAGCCCGAAGCTACCAAAATTTTTAGCTGTACTGTATAAATGAGAAACTAAATTCTTCACTGCAAAACATATAGGCACCTATATATGCTCAAGGTTTTGACAATGACACTCATTCATGCAGAAGAAGACACTTTCCAGGTGAATATTTCCCTGTTCTGGGGTCACACGCTGAGTAACGTAATTAAAGAACATTTTTGAAATGTTCGGGACTGCACTACTGGGAATCCTGAACAGAGAGGAAAGTGGAATTGTGTGTGTTTGTGGTGTCCTTAGACGAGCGAGATGATTTGCAGGACAAGTGAGGTTTCGAAAATGCAAGGTTTTCCCAGCCAGAGTTTAGGGTCTAAAGGCAGTGACACGAGCGCAGTTTCGTCTCACATAATGGTTGCGATGAGGTTGCAAAGGTTTTATTCCTGCTAGTCTGTGCTGTGCCGATAAAAGCACCTTCGGGTTCGAGCCCTGCCTCTAGCTGTCATTTAGAAAGGAGCGAAACGGGCTCTGGAAGGGAAGCGGGGCGGCTGCGGCCACGGCCCGGCCCGGTCCGGTCCGAGCTGCCTGCGGGCACTGGAGCGGCCGCGTCCCGGGGCACCTCCGCTCACTCCGCCCGAGGGACACGGAGCTCCCGCGAGTCGGTACCGCAGGAAAACGCCCCCGTCTCAGCCTTTTAACCGATTAAATCTGATGAATTTTCATTGAGGCCAGAATATTTTATTTCCCGCAGCACATTTCGTTAACTCTCATGAGCGCCGTGGTGCGAGACAGACCCGCGCTCGCCGCATTTAACACGTACCCTATTTTTTCTGGGTTTGCTAGGGAGAAAAATACTCCACGATCTTAAAGACCAGTAGTACAAAAAAAGGAATAAACTAGGAGTACTTGAAACGGTAGCATGGTGTCTGCCCTGTCCCGACCGCTTTGCGGATTGTGCCGAGGGAAGGAGAGCTGCTGGGGGGACGGAGCGGGGACCGAGAGGGCCCGGCCCTCCCCCGCTCCCGGAGCCCCGCGCCGCCGCGGATCCCGTTCCTCAGGGAAACGGGACTGGGAACAAGGCGCGCCTGGAGCCGCTTTTACACCCGCGTCCGTGCGGTCGCTACGTGAACCGAGTGAGTGCGGGTAATGTCGGTACGGCCGCGGTGTGCCGGGGCTCGAGAGTCCCGAAAGGCGCGTCCGTCCTTACGGGGCACCAGCCGTGTGCCCTCCCCGGGAGCTGGGGAGCGGAGGGGCAGCAGAGCGGAGTGGGAGCCGCAGGACTGACAACGGGGCTGTGCCGCCTGTCCCCGTGCGGGTGTCGGTCCGGAGGCGAGAGCCCTGCCCCGGTGCCCGCAGGCGAGCTGCGCTGGCCGAACGGGAGCGGGGCTCTCCGAGCCAGGGGCGGACCGGCGCTCCCCGCTGGAGATACGTTTTCTCGCCAAGAGAAAAGGGAAAAAACAAGCTTTGGGAAAGGAAGGCTGCCGCAATTTCAAACAAACCAACCTCAGACCTTCCAGGTTCTGCTGCCTGTAGAGGGTGAGTAGAAAAGAAAACCCAAAGCACTCGGGCTACTCGAGCTTTATCAGCGCTTCAGCTGAAGGCACGGCTTTCGCGGGAATCCTCCTTCGGGCTGCCGGGGCCAGACGTGGGGGTGGCACCGTGCCCCGTGTCCCCGTGTCCCCGAGGCGGACACCCCGCTGCTCGCCGTGCCCCGCTCCGCTCGGCGCTGCCAGGCGCGCTCGGGCTGAGCGCTGCGCAGAGGGAATATCGCACCGGGGCCGCGGCGGGGGCTCTCGTGCTCTGCTCGGGAAGGGGAACCCGGTCCGGCTCGGTAGCGGTGAAGCCCCAGTTTGCAGCGTCTCTCGGCTCGCCTCTCTTAGCGGGGTTGCGCGGCCGGGATTGAGTCCCGCTCTGCCCGCCTCCCTCCTGGCTTCCCTGCGCCAGGGCCGGGCTGTGGCCGGGGCTGTTCTGCCCTCGTGTGCAGAAAGCGAGAGCCCTTTCCCCGCCGCAGAGGCCGGGACACGGGCACGGAGCTGTGAGCCCCCTCCATTGTTAATTCCCCTCCTGCTTCCCCTACCCCGGCGAGTGGCTGCAGCACAGCGCCGGGAGCGGCTCCGCTGGCTCCTTCTGCCCTCGCCTTGTCCGAGTTCGCCCGGAGCGGCGGCGGGCGGGGCGCGGGGCTCAGCCGGGAGCACGGGAGGACCGGGCCGCTCCCCGGGACTGTGCTGGGATCCCCGCTCTTTCTCCCGAAAGGGCTCTCCGCACTCCTCTGCTCCCTGCCCGTCCCCGTTGCTTGCATTCCCCTCACGGCGGCATTTCTGTGGGTGCCGATAAGCCCTCAGCTCTCCGCTTAAGCGCAGCTACAGCGTACAGCTGCCAGGGGCGTGTTCCTGCTCTTTCAGGTAATTGTTTCATGTCCCAAAAAGGGCTTAATTAGGAGAGGGGAGAGCCCGTCAGCCCCTGCCTGCCCTTGTGTCAAACGTTCAAGTAGCCGCACACGGGGCTGAGCGCTCACCTTTGCTGCTCGGCCTGACCGCCGCTCCCAGCGCTGGGCTCAGCTTCTGCCCTGGTGTTCATCCGAAATCCCCCTTGGTGGGGCTGTCAAAAAAACCCAAACAAGACCCTTGGATGTCAAATGTCCTTTGCGAGCGAGCCCTGCCAAGGAGCTACGCGCCCGGCTTAGGAGTGAGAAGGGAGGAATGTGCCATTTGGCGGAGGTGATGACACACACGGCAGTGCTGCTACACCTGCACCGGCCCTCGCCGCGGAAATGCCTGCGAGGGGGAGCGCCGGGAGCAGCATGGGTGGCCGGCAGAAAGAAGCTCACCCCGGCCCTGGGGAGCCCGGCAGCCCCGGCCCCGACGGCGGGGCACAGCTGGCTCCGGCTGCTGCGTCGCCCTGCGCGGAGCGAGCCGCCGGCGAGCCGCCGGGGGCTGCCGAGGAGGAGAACCCTGGAGAAGATCCCTCCCGTGGGTTCATCACTTCCCTGTTTCGTTTGTGCGCGTTAGGAGGGTGCCCGGGGGCGGCTTGCGCTGCCCCGGGCCCGGGTGCGGAACTAGACGGGCCTCCTTTCCGTGACCCAAATCACGCAGCCCGCGTTTTGGGGCACGCGGTCCTCACCGACGGGAGATAAGGGATTGGTTAAATGGCTCTAGGCGAAGGTGTAGAAACGTAGTCTAACTGAGATTTATAGAAATACACAGTTTTATATATTTCTATTTATATATATATATAAATCTAATAGTTCATCGAAGAGCTAATTTATTTCTCGGTTAAAATACGTTTCTATGTCTTCGACTGCCTCTACACGCAATTAGTCTGTCCCGGGTAGGGGAGCAGGGGCCCGTGGCCGAGCAGAGGAACTAGAATCTCCTCATGGGCCACCGAAGCCCTGGGCGCCCCGACGGGAGATGCCGGCTGTGCCGGGCATGCACCTTCGGGAGCTGCCAGCCCCCTCGCTCACGCCTGGTTACGAAAATTGGTGTCGCACTTAAAATCATTGGGACAGGGCGCATCGCGAGAGGCGGTTCACGCGCAGGAAAGGCAGGAGCGAGTCTGAGGGCCATGAGCTGCCGGCGGGCAGAGCTGCGGGCGCCGAGGTGAGCGTGCAGCTGCTCCCAGGACCGCTTCGGGCAGCCCGAGCTGTGCTTGAGCCCGGGCGGGGAGGCCGTGCAGGCAACAGCGGGCTCGCTGCGGCGCCGCGCCCCGGGGGCCGAGCGAGACCCCGGCCGGCGAGCGCAGGTGGTCCCGGCCCCGCGGAGCTCGGCCCGGCTCTCGCAGCGCCTTGTCTGGTGGAAAGGCCCGGGGGTCAAACGGGGCCGGTGTGCCTCGCTCCCGGGACAGGACTGGAGAGTTCGATAGAAACCACTGCCAAGTGTCGCTGCTGCACCCGGGGCTGAGCAGCCCCGGGGCACTGTTTTTTTACAGAGCGACATCTCTTGTGCTCGGGCCAGCTGTCACTGACTGTCTGCTGCTCGGGCAGGCTCTGCCTAAAGGCAGGAAAGGGAAAGGAGAGGGGAATGTCTGTGCCACATACGCTACTCCAGGAACCGTGTGAAATAAGCCGAAACCCTGCAGTTGAAGGAGCAGGAAAGCTGCCCAGTGTGTCATCCCCCGTCCCGCTAACTTGCCCCGGCCCTCGAGGCTCCTGTCAGCCCCGCAGCCGCGCTGGGGGCCGGCATGTACTCTGCGGGGAGGGAGAAGGGGCGACCCGACACCTTTTGCTTTCTGTCTCCTGCAAATAAGAGCTGCAAGAACCTACTCGCAGAGAGCGGCAACAGCCTCCTTGTGCTCCCCGGGCGCGATCGGTTGGCGGGGCCCGCGGCCAAGACATATAAACGCGACCGCGTGTGCGGCTGGACGTGTGACAAGCGGCCGCGGCAGGGCGAGCGCCGCGGGCACACCCCTTCGCACCCACCGCCTCCAGCGCGACCCCGCGCCGGGCGGGAGGGGAGCGCGGCGCCGCGGGCCCCGGCGGGCTCCGGGGTGGGCGGCGGAGGCTCGCCCAGCGCCCCCGGACGCCGCCCCCCGCCTCCCCCCGCCCCCGGCGGCACGGCAGAGCCGGGGCGGTTCCGCGCCGCTCCGCGGGGCCACGTCGGGCCGTGTGTGCGCGGGGCTGAGCGCGGCGCCGTGACTGCAGGGTGAACTCGGCCGTGCCCAGCGGCTCGGCGGCGATAGGGGAGCGGGCTCCTGACGAAAGCGGAACTCGGCCGGGCCCATACAAATCAGAAAAGAGCCCGGCCGCCGCGGCAGAGGGGAGCGGAGCCCGCGGGGGCAGGGACGACGCCGCACGCCGCGCTGCGCGGACCAGCGGCGCCGCGAGAGGCGCCTCCCGATCTCCGCCCGGGTCCCGGCTTCGACTTCGGCTCCGGCCCCGTCCCGGCGAGCGCGGAGCGGCACGGCCGGCAGCAGCGGGCTCCGTGCAGCGGGCAGCGCTCGGCACCGCGCGGCGCGGCGCTGGGCGCCCCGGGCGGCGGGCGCGGGGCACCATGATGAGCAGCTACCCGGACGGCGAGGAGGACACGGTGGCGCTGCTGGCTCATGACACCAGCGGCGGCAAGGAGCCGGATCGGGGCAAGGAGGAGCTGAGCGCGGACAAGGGCCCCGAGAAGCCGGACCCCTCGCAGAAGCCCCCCTATTCCTATGTGGCCCTGATCGCCATGGCCATTCGGGAGAGCGCGGAGAAGAGGCTTACGCTGTCCGGGATCTACCAGTACATCATCAGCAAGTTCCCTTTCTACGAGAAGAACAAGAAAGGCTGGCAGAACAGCATCCGCCACAACCTCAGCCTCAACGAGTGCTTCATCAAGGTACCCCGGGAGGGTGGCGGCGAGCGCAAGGGCAACTACTGGACCCTGGACCCCGCCTGCGAGGACATGTTCGAGAAGGGCAACTACCGCAGGAGACGAAGGATGAAACGGCCTTTCCGGCCACCTCCGACCCACTTCCAGCCTGGCAAGACCCTCTTCAGCCCCGACAGCTACGGCTACCTGTCCCCGCCCAAGTACTTGCAGTCCACCTTCATGAACAACTCGTGGCCGCTGGCGCAGCCCCCCGCGCCCATGCCCTACACGTCCTGCCAGATGTCTGGTGGGAACGTCAGCCCCGTCAATGTGAAAGGACTCTCGGGCCCGGCGTCCTACAGCCCCTACTCGCGGGTGCAGAGCATGGCGCTGCCCAGCATGGTGAACTCCTACAACGGCATGGGGCACCACCACCACCACCACCCGCACGCCCACCACCCCCAGCAGCTCAGCCCGGCCAGCCCCGCTCCGCCCGCGGCCCCGGCGGCAAACGGAGCCGGCCTCCAGTTTGCCTGCGCCCGCCAGCCCGCCGAGCTGTCCATGATGCACTGTTCTTACTGGGAGCACGACAGCAAACACAGCGCCCTGCACTCCCGCATAGACATCTAGGGAGACTCCGGCCAGCCGCAGTCACAGAAATGCACCGGCCACGCTGCCCCTCTCCTACCCCGCCGCGTTCCCCTGCGCTCCGCGTCTCTCCTCCTCGTCTCTAGCCACGGACTTCCCTCTCTCTGTGCCCAAACTCTCGCGGTGGGGAAATAGCAACATTGCCCCGCGTGTAGTGTCAGTGTAGGAGCCGTTCCTCCGTGAGAAGAAGGCAGTGTAAGTGTGGGGGTTCCCCGCGGGGCTGCACCGGCAGCGGCGGCCGGGCCGCCTGTCTCCGGGCGAGCGGGGATTCACCGGGACTTTCTCTGCTCGTGTGTGTGTTTGTGAGTTGTTGGGTTTGATGGGGTTTTCTTGGTTTGGGTTTGTTTGCTTTAGGGTTTTTTTGTTTGTTTGTTTAGGGGTTTTTTGGGAATTTTTTTTTGGGGGGGGGAGGGAGGATCTAATTAAAAATTGGCTGTTCAGCGCTGAAAATTATGCTCCTATGTAATTCAGCCGTAGTCTTTTAGGGCTCAGCCGTGGGGCGAGTAAAGCGGAGTTTATAAATAGCGGAGGTATTTTCAGGCGTGCGGTGCGGGGCTGCCGGGGCCTAACACTACCGAGTGCCCACGGTGCTCGTCCTCCTTCTCTTCATCCCCTCTGTCTTCTTCCTCGCTCTGCAAAGCACTGCGCTTCTTCCGAGCTGTGGCTTTTCGTTAAAATAGTACTTAACGTGGGGACTGCTGTAACAGCAGATGTGCGATATTGCTGGTTAATAGAAACCAACAAACAAAACACGCCAGGGTCACTCGTGAAACGTTTCGGCAGCGGTAAATGTATTTTTTAAAGGAGACAATGTCCTCTGAGGTCTTAAAAGTAATTTTATGCAGGTCTAAAAAAATATTTTGATGTTATAAAAAAAAAGAAAAGAGACGCTTTCTTGTAAATTGGGATATATTTCCATGTGCATATTATTATTAATAATGAAAGTTTAAACTATCTTAAGTTTTTTTGCCCCCAACCTGGCCCAAAATGGATTTTCCGGTAGGTTCTGCTTTTGAATGCTTTCCCTTTTTCTTAAAAGGTTTTGATCCTTCAATTTTACATAGATTAATGTGAAAAAAAAAATAGCGGTTTTAAAACAGGGCCAGTTCATAGCGATTTTGTAAATGTTTGTGTAAACCGATAGATGCTGTGGCATAGTACCATTGTGGGACCAACTTTTCTAGAATGAGCTAGCACTTTCATTGTACTTTCTAGCATTGTAAAGTCTCCAATAAAATGCCTTTTCTTCTTTCCATATCGTTTTACTTCACTCTGCTCCTCCGCGCTCGGGGTCGGGAAGCGGCAGCGGAGCGCGGGGTGGGCTCTGCGTGCCGGGGCCGCTCGGGGCTGTGGACACCGCTCCCGGCCCGCGGCTGCAGCGCTCCCCGGTGCGGCACGGGGCTCGGCTGCGGGGACCCTGCTGGGCGCTCCATCAACTCTGCCGGGCACCGGCGGAGAGCTCCCGGGCCCCGGGGCTGTCCCGGCCGCGGCTGAGAGGTGCGGGGACCGCAGCGTTGGTTCCGCCGGCGTGCGGGGCGGGCGAGCCCGGGAGCGCCTCTGTTGCGGGGCGCGGGCAGCTGCCGGCCCCCACCCGTGTGCCCGGCCCGGGGCGCCGGCGGCAGGGGCCTGGGACAGTGCCTGGGGCTGTGCCGGACCCTGGCTTCGCTTTCGTTTCTTCCCCGCGTGCTCGGAGCCGTGGTCTGGAAGGAAAAGTGCGGTCCCGTGTCGCTCCGAGCCCGGCCCGGCCACGCTGCGACGGGGCCTGAGCCCCATGCGGGCCCGGGCCGGTGGCGGAGCCGGGAGCCGCAGGCGGGTCTCTCTTTCCTCGCCGAGCCGGCAGCGGCCCGGGCCTCCTTCTACCCCTGCCCGTCCCCGCAGGCAGCGGCCCTTGCGCGGGGCCTGGGGGTCCGGAGAGGATGGGGCAGGCGGGGCGGCCCCCGCTCGGTGCCGGCCCGGCTCGCAGTGGGTCCCGCTCAGACTCCGGCCTGGCCAGGCCTGCGGTTCTGCGGCAGCAGCGGAGATGCGGTGGTAGCCTCCCGGACCCGCGGGCAGCTCGCTGCCGAGGACAGGGCTGCCAGGGGTGAATCCGGGAACGGGCCTGAGCACTCCGCTCCGCAGCCAGCGGCCTGGCACTTGCCCTTGCCCGGCTGCCTGGCGCTCTCCCGTTCTGTCAGGGCCTGCTTCCCTGCACGGCAGGAAGCGGCAGCCTGCAGCCCGGCCACAGAAAGCAGTGAGAGACGTGGCGACCGGTCGCCTCTCTGCCGCTCGGCGGGCACGGCCCGGGCAGAGGGGCTCTGGGGAACCCGCGGGGCCATCCCGGAGCCCTGCTGTGCCCCTGGCCCCGCTCCCCAGGCAGAGAGGGCGCTGCGAGCCGAAGGGCTCCGAGGGGCGGACAGAGACGCACAGAGGGTGCAGAAAGCGGGGTCACTGCGAGGCGGCGGTGCCGCCACCGCTCCGCGCTGTGCAGGGAGCCACGGCCCGAGCGGCTGCCCCGGGCACAGGGCGAGACGGAGAGAGCCTGGTCCCTGCACGAACACCGGTGTAGTGGGAGGCCGAAGGCCGGAGCGGGGATGCCAGCGCACAAGGGACGCAGCCGGGTCTCACGCCACTGCCAGCGGTGGCTCTGCGGGACCTCCGCGCCTCTGACCTTCCCGGGGCCCTCGCGTGGGAGCGGGCGGCGGAGGGGAGAGGTAGCACCGCTCACACGCACCGAGGATAGCAGCTTTGCACCGGAGGGCTCAGGGCCTTGGCTGCTTGTTCCTTATTAGATCGGTACTGAAAATCCCGCTATTTTCCTCCGGGGTATGTTGAGGTCAAAAGGGAAACTCCTGCCACCGTATGTGGGCACGGGGCGAAGGGAGGGTGGGAGCACTTCCCCGGACCCCTATAGAGGCCAACGGGCTCCTTCCTGGGCTGTGCCGTCGTTCGGCCTGAAGCAAAGGCTGAAGCACCCTTGGCACACGCCCGGGAACCGCTGGGGCCCGCCAGCTTTGAGTGAAGAGATACGTGACCATACCAGGTGTAGGGAGAGGAGGCGGCAGGCCCGGACCGAACAGGGACGTGCGGCCTCTGGGGCTATTCCAGTTCCCGAGTGGTCTCCACCCAGGTCCCGCTGTGCTTGACCAGCGACAGAGAGGCAAGGAGCCGCGCGTCTGGGGGAGAAGTGGGCCGGCAGGGCCGTGCGCTCTCTCCCAGCCCGGCCAGGGTCTGTCCGTCTGCTGGGCTCCCTGTGCCCGGCCGGGGCTCTGCTCTCATTCGGCCCGGACTCTCCCCGCCGCTCCTGGGTGGCCGTGGCAGTCGTGCCTGTAGGCTGTTTTCACGATCGTTTTCTGTATTTTACAAACAGAGACTGCACTGAATGTAAACTCGCAGGGAAATAGAGGGGAGAGCCCGCTCGCCGTCCCTGGCCGCCGGGCGCTGTCGGCTGCAGCCGAGCCTCCGCCGCTGCCGGGAATGGCCGGGCCCCCCGCTCAGTCCCGTTCGGCCTGGGGACGGGGTGGCCATCATCTCACCCTGCGTGCTGGTGCTTGCCTGAAAGTGGGCACGGCCCCTGGGGAGCCGCCACGGACCGCCCAGACACGCAGGGACCGAGTGTCCCGTCCGAGCATTGCTTCCCCGCGGGCCCGCTCCCAGCCCGGGTGATGTGCGGGACCGGGCCGCACCCCGGGACAGCGGCACTTGGGACGGCAGAGACTGAGCGGCAGCAGGGCCTGTACAGACCGGTCTGCAGTCAGCTCCGTGGGCACGAACACCACCACAGGACCAAGGGTACCCGCGGTGGCTCAGCATTCCCTCGCCCCGGGTCGCCTTCTCCTCCCGCGGCTCCCACCTTCCCCCGGCCGCGCCGCCGCCCAGCCCTTTCGGCCCCTCTCAAAATCAAGAGGCCGAGCGCCGCACTCCTGGCAAGCGCTGGGTTTGCGCGTTGTGTAAGGTCTTTCCCCGTTATATAAATGACTGCAGGAGGAATGTACACGGAGCGGGACGCGCTCCCCGGGACAGCACCTTGGCCCGGAGCCTCCTCCGGTCCCGGGGCCGCCGCCCGCCGCGGGGCTGCTCCAGGGGCCAGAGCTGGGGAAGGGGGGCTCAGGGCTGCTGAGCCGCCGCCGCTGCCCTTTCGTTTATGCAACGCTGGCGAGAGATGAAAGCAGAAGAGCGAGGGGTGTTTTCTCCCTGCCCGGAGCGGGCGTGGAAGCAGCCTGCCTCTGTCGGGGAAGGACAGAGTTTGATCCCCGAGGCTGAGCGGACTCCCAGCGCCCCTCTGCTGCTCCAGACCCCGGGAAGTGCCAGCTCCGGGGGATGTTTTGCGACCTTAGCTTTCTCGTCCTCTCCGGTCCTTTGAAGGGTGCAGAGCCCCTTCCGAGGGTGGCAGAGCCCTGGGCGCCGGGAGCGCTCCCGGCGGCGCGGCACGGCACAGAACGGGCACGGCACGGCACAGAACGGGCACGGCGCGGCACGGCGCGGTTGCCCTCTGCCTGCGGGACCGCTGCGACAGCCGCCCGGCAGCGGGGTGCTGAATGAGGGACCCCGTGGGCTCTGTCCCGGCTCCTCTCGCCGTGCCGGCACCGGGCAGGAGGCGGTGGCTGCGGGCAAGGCAGAGCCAAGCTCCGTGAGGAGACACACACAGAGCTCTTACCTTGCGCCCTCCCTCCCGCCCAGGCCGGAGCGGCTGTTTAATACCGCCTGATTCCTGGTATTCTTGTCAGTGTTTTAAGTGGTGAAAAAGTCATTTCCAGTCCCATGGTCTGCGTTTCACCCTGAACTCATTGAAAATAGAGTGCGGGGTCAGGACTGTTTATTATACAACCAATTAAAACAGGAAAATATGCAAAGGCTTCATTCAGCGAGATCCGGCTATTGTTAAACCGAAAACGATATTTTTGTTTCAAAAATAAAAAAGTACATTTGTTACTTAAAAAATCTCCGCTCTGCGTGTGTGACAGTCGGGAGCGCGGCGAGCTCCGGCAGCCCCGGCTCGGGCCCGGGCTGTGCGGCCGGAGGGCG